TTGATCCACTTTGTTCATTACTGATCACTGTGACTCTCCTACTCATCGTGCTATTTCAATAGCTGCTCTTGGACATCATTTTTGTCCAGCTGATTGTCATGACCGCTCAACATATTCATGCTTTGAACTTTGGTTAGGGATTTTGTTTCATTTGCTTATCTTTTCATGTATCTTTACTCTTTTCTACCCAGTGTCAAAATTAGTTTGTGTATTGATAGTCTGTGATGTGTTTGATCCAATAATTTGATCACTTCTCTCCAAAATTTTCCCCCTTTTACTTTATAGCATTGCATGTCCATCTTCTATGAACTATTTTTGGCTTCAATAGATGAAGAGCTTCATTGTTGAAAATGATTTTAATTTAGTGTTTGTTTTCATATCTACGCTGGCATCTTATAAATTCATAAATATTATAATCCCAGAATTGAAATCCCTATCTGAAATTTAGTGTTTATATATGAATTGCATTATATCCATAAAAAGTTAGACGTATATGTATTTAGGAGGAAAATAGGGAAATGATCTTTGCTTTTTCGATTGTTATGTAGTCCTAAAATCTTTTTGTGAAATCATCTTATCTTTGAACATTTTTATGAACTGATTTTATTTTTCATTTTTCTTTTCACTTTTGTAGGAGGAAATATGATCAAGCTACTTTTCTAGTTAATATTAAGTATGCCTTCCTTGGAGCGGCTGTTCCTTTTTCTCTTGGAAGTAACTAAGAAATGCTCACAAGCTGTTTGTGAGTTTGTCAAATTGAAGATAAGTATTCAACTAACGTAATGATGAAAACTCCATCCTTAATTTCTGTAACCATCATATATATTCCTGTTTTTTGTGCGTGCTTAGGTTTCATTAACAATCAAGTCTTAAAGGCTTCAATGATCGTTACCTTTGTCATCCCTACTTAGACCAAGTCAATCTAGGTGTGAAAGGAGGGACCCACTTAAGGAAAATCCAAATTTCATTGCATATATAAACACAAACGTACATATATGTTAGTTTAACAATCATGAACACATTAATATTGGCTTAATTCTCATGTTCTATTGAAAGTTTTGCTGATGGAGATTGTTGCACCTTATTTTTTTGTTGTTGTGGAGTGCTTTAATTTTTTTGGTTGAACTGCCATCATTTTACTTACTTTATTTGAAAAAAAGAAAGGGAAGAAATATATTACATTTAAGTTAGTTTCCTTACTTTATTTGAAAAAAAGAATTGTACATTGAATTTTTACCTATAATGTTTTTTCACATTATATTTAAATTAAACCATTTTGAACTAGTTATTCTCATTGAAGTCATGTCTAACTTTTAAGTAAATATGTCAAATTTATATGCTTTTGGTGGGGTAAAATGATTTGTATATGCGCTGTTGCAAGGACTGTTTTTGGCTTTGTCAAATTAAAGAAGCCTTGTATTTGCTTAAAAAAATCTAAAATAAAATATAACGGTTATTTGTAATAACCTTCATATTTGGTACCCAATATATGAAGGTTATTTATAATAATTGTCATATATTGGCGGTCTTCAATATATGACAGTTATTTTACAGTAAATGTGATATATTGGGGTCCAATATATGATGGTTATTACATAATATATGATGGGTATTTATAATAACTGTCACATATACTTTGGTACCAATCAATAACACTATAATTGGTAACTTTTATATGATGGGTTATATAACCATCATGTATAGTCATGAATATATGATGGGGATTTAACCGTCATATAAAGGAAAACTTTAAATGATGGATCAATAAATGACGATTGTTAACCGTCATTTATAGGTAAAAATAACAGTCATTTTTGTCTTTTTTTGTAGTAGTGTTGCCATTCTTGTGAAACTCAACTCCCGACGACACTGGTAATAAATTATTAAATTTTATTTTTTTTATTTTTTCTTGTTTTTATATCTGCATTAATTTACTCTTGTTATCTCCCTTTGAATTCTGAGCTTTCAATGAAAACAGGGTTTTCTCGTTAAGAACAAGCCCTTGCACCCTAATCAAGAGACTTCAACATTTAATATGGCAACGTCCGGCATGATTTTTGCACCCAAAAATTAAAGAAACACACATCAAGGCGTCTATTCTTTAATAAATAGATGCCACCAAGAAAAATATTTTTTTTCTGTCTCAAAATATGAGATACTTTTAAATAAAATATTACATACTAATGAATCTTATTAAATACATTTAACAACGTTATCTTTTTTAAAAAATATAAATTTTTAAAAATATTAATTATTTAATATATTAAAAAAATAAAAATTAAATATAGAGAAAGAAAAGATAGTATTAAAATTAATGTATTTAATAAAATTTTAATTTATTTAAAAAGTTTTATATTTTAAAATGAAAGAATCTACTATAATTTTAAAATAGAGGGAATATTATTTAATCTATAACGACTGACCATTTTCTTTGAGCTCCACAGGAAAATGGCAGACACAGAAGTCAATATGGGAGACCGTGTCGTGCCATGTATCCAACTTTCTTCTGTCTAATCTTCTCCTCTGATTTTCTCTCTAACATTGACTATATATGCTTAATTCATTTGACTTTTGGGGAAAGATTATTGAAACGTAATAATAGAACGAAAGATCAATATAATTCATGAGAATTTTGAATTGATCTTATTAATCACAGTTACTCCTGAATTTTGTTAGACCAAATATTATAGTCGAACTGTAAACTTTGAACTACCACACATATGACGACCGAGAACTTTCGTTATAGTTAACCTAACACAGCATGCATGATAGGATTGTCAAAGACTTATAGAAATATAATTAATTATTTCACTTGCATGGTTCTATATCTTAATTTCATGCTTCTAAGCTACGCAACGAATCATTTTCGCTTTGTGTATTAGATTGAGTTCTCCGACGTACAGCTATGCATGTATAATTAAACTTCACAGTATACATATACATAAATATGCTGGTGTGAATTTGAATGTTAACTTCTACACTAACATGCATGCAAAACAACTATACCTTCCCTTCATAGTATTAATAACGTAATTAACTTCTCAAGATCTTTTTCGTGGTCTCATAATTGAAAATATCACGTACATATATGAGGTTTAATTTCTTTTGATACTTCAGATTTTGTGCTTATATGGATCTCTCTCTCTCACACACGGGCGCATGCACATAAGGTCATATTAAGGGCGTATTTGTTTTCTGTTTTCAAAAGTTATTTTTTATTGTTAAAAAGAGAAAAATTTAAAAATTTGTTTCGACAAGTGGTTTTCATTTAGTTGTTTTCAAAATTATTGTCATTTTTTGTTTTTAAAAATAAAAAATAAAAAATAAATTTAAGTTATTTTATTTTATTTTTCTTATTTTTAAAATACACTACATTTGATTATTAAAAATTATAATTACCTTGATCAATTTCTATTATTATTCACCACCATTAATTGCCTATAACCATCACTATTAGTTCATTTTTTCTAATTTTAAAGCTGTTTTTTAATTGATATAACCAAATGTATTTTCATTTTATTTCATTTTAAAAATAATTTTGAAAATTGCATTACAAAACAGTTTTTAAAAATAAAAAATGGTAACAAAAACCAAACAGGCCCTAAGTTTCTCATTTTTAGTTTTCATGTATTTGAAAATTGAAATTCAACGAAGCGGATCAAAATTCTCTGAAGTTAAGTTCACTCTCTATTTAAAAAGTGCATTTTAGAGGATTTTGATCAGAACAATGGACGGACCCACAAGCCAAGAAAATACACTACTAGAAAAAAGCTTGATTCGGCATCAATAATCTTTTTGTCAGGTGTATAACAATAACGCAAGTAAGTTCAAAGTGTGCTCTTGTGATTATATATCTTGGTGCTAGAACAGTTTCTGACTCTCATGTTCTGTTTGGTGAAAAATTAAATTACTTGAATGAATGTATGCAACCAGTTCCTCGACAGATACAACGAATGAACATGTTTGATGTTTGTGCAGAGCTTATATTTGCTTGAATGCCCTCTCCTGTCTCTTTCCAGGCCAGAACTGTAGGTGGGGATGATAACAAAGCCAGTTGGCATTAAACGACCAGTTCCGGTGCTCATCACATTATGGATGATCCAGATTTAAATATTTTTGTTTTATATTAAATGTTTTCATAGTTTTTATAAATTAATTATCCAAATATATTTTGAACAGTCTAAATGTAAAATCTTTAAGTTGTAACTTTTTCTTAAAATTATTTTCTCCAGCAAATTCCACTCTACCAAAAATCCATGAGAAAGCTGTTTCATTCGAATTTATAAGGTTCTTCTCATATATTTTTGGACAAAAGCTACCATATCTTCATGTTTGCCCTAAAAAATGCCTTCTATTTTTAAATAAAGGAAGTATATATATTATATGAAAAATTTTTAGATAGATTAGGTGCATCACGCCATTTGTAGCGTATCCAATAAAAACACGACATTCATAAAATATTAAGTACAAATTGACTCTAACATTAATGATAGTAGATCCAAAAAAGATAAGAAATTAAATATGTATTTTGTTATAAGAATAAAATCAACTAAAATAATATCACTAAAATTTTATTTAGATAACTTAAAGCATTTTAATTGTATAAACTATAAATAACATAACATACTCAGTCTATTTAAGAATTTCTCCTATTACCTTTGTAAGTGAACTTGTGAATTTTTTAATCTAAATATTGCAAACATTCAATGTTTTTATGTTCGCAAATGGAAATGGTAAGATTCTTCTCCCTTCAAGTTTGATCTCCATGTATAAATATACTGACAAAGATACAGATTCTCATTATCATCCCCAAATTTTGCAGCTATGGATTTTCAGTTATGCACAAACCCTGAAAAAGAACTATATCCAGTATTAATGTTAAAGCAAAGATCAGGACTTTAAGTGATGCACAAACCCTGAAAAAGAACCATATCCAATATTAATGTTGAAGCAAAGATCATCATCCCAGTAAAATCAACAGAAAAGGAGCAGCAACCATGTTACGAAATTAATGTTCATAATAAAGAAAATGAACTATCCATTATATGGCGGTCCCCTCTTTTACATAATTGAAACAAAAATGAACTGTGAATTCATCAAGTGATCTACCCAGTAATTGTTTACTAGGATTTCAATCTCTCTCTCTCAAGCAATAATTTCACTGCTCACAGTGAGATCGATGTTCAAATCTGGTAAGCAAAATGAGTCTTCTTCATCCAAACCACTTGCTGCTTCTGACACTCGATCATCAGAATTAGACTTGTTTGTGATTGGCTCATTATTCCTGACACTATTATCATTGTTGGTGACTTTAAGGCCATTATATGATGAGGATCCTGAGCTTCCAGACGACGTTAATGGTGGATTATTTCGAGTTAACCGATGATTATTCAGATCAATCCCCTTGTTCATTAGCTTCTTTCTCAGATGAGAGTTCCAATAATTCTTCACTTCATTATCTGTCCTCCCTGGTAATCTTCCAGCTATCAATGACCACCTATAAGTAATAACAATGTCATCCATCAATACAACAAGCTTTATCTATCTCGCTAGGTGAAGATCAACAATACTTGATCATATAGGGTGAAACTTGTTAAAAAAATTATGTTTTGTGGATGGTTTAATAATATATCTGATTTTAACACATAAATATTGTTGCTAATCTATGCTTAAAATAAAAAATCAAAATTAATTCTTATTTCCTTTTTCATGAATCCAGAAGGATAAAAACAAGAGATGATTAATTAAATTAAATTAGTGTTAAGAATGTGCAACAGCAAGTCAACCACTCGAAAAGGGAGAGAAAGGAAATGGAGAAGAGCAGCAGTGAAAGTATACAACATCTTAACAATTAGTTAAGAGGTTAAGTCTACTCATATTTAAACAACTTAACAATTAGATAAGAGCTTTAAGATATATTCGCACCGGTTTCCTAGCAGTGCATGAAGCTTAATGATGAGGTCTTCTTCATCTTCAGCAAAGTTGCCTCTTTTAAGGTCTGGCCTCAGATAGTTTATCCATCTCAGCCTACAACTTTTGCCGCAACGAAGCAAGCCTGAAGATTTTAGGAAAGCTAATAACATGAGAACTTGTAACTCAACAACAATGAAGAAAGTTACACACACACACACACGATATACACATACCAGCAGCTCGAGGGAGGGTACGCCAGCAGCCCTCGCCATGTTTGTTGATGTAATGAATGAGTTTCTGATCTTCTTCTTTGGACCAAGCTCCTCTGTTCAAAACCACCTTATCACAGCAAGCTGGTCTCCTCATATTACTCTTCAAAAAGGTTTAAATGTGTGTGTATCTGTGTAGTGTTTTGTGTAAGAACCCTAGGTAGCTAGCAGATAGTTTACAGTACTGGAAAGGAAGATGATGATGATGACAATGGCAATAAGAAAGATACTAATTAAGTGTTGAAGAAAGAGAAGAAGAAAGGAGGGTACGCAGCATCACATAGAGCGTTTGAAAGTACTTATATACAGAGGCGCGCGCGCGCAGATATATAAACATATATCATTAAAACAAAGAAAAATGAATGAACCGGATGGTAGAGTTGGACCGGTGGTTTGGCTCATATGCGTGACCTCACACACAGAGAGAGAGAGAGAGAGAGAGAGAAAGAGTGCTCAAAGGGCAAGTTGGTGCGTGAGTGCTTAGTTAGTTGTCTCCTAATTATTAGTCAATAATCACGTACCGTCTTTCCTCTCATCCTCCAACTATTTTTTTTTTCTCTTACTTTATCTTCACCAATGAGTTGTTGACATGTGCATATAATGTTTTTGGGGATGAATAACAATTACATTCCAAAAGGTTAAATTAAGCTTGATAATTTTTTTTAAAATAAATTATAAATACCAATTTAAATAGTTACAAATAAAAATTTATGTTATAATTTAAAAGTTATATTTAATACTTAAAAATTAATTTACAATTAAAATATTTAAATTTATAATTATTTAAATTAATATTTTTAATTTATTTTTTAAAGACCTAATTATTATTAATTTAATGTTCTTCATGTAGTGAAATCATGTCTACTTAGATTGATATTTGTTTTTGATAATCAGATTGGTAATTATTTATTTATTTGCTGGTACTGTTCATTGTTCAAGTTGGATTTCAATCTGTCTCATTTGTCTAAAGTAGTAAATGCAAAGTTTCAACGAATTTAAAAAGAATACAATAGTTGAATGGTAGTTTAATTTGCGCTCCAATTTTACCCTCATCGTTAATTCATCAAACTGTCAAGGAGAAATTACTAATACGAGTTAATTAATAGTTGAGTATAATGTAAATATTAATTTCTGAAGTTAAAAATTATTCTTAAATAAATTTATGATTGCATCAAAATATTAATAACTTTCATCTTTATTTTCTATTCTGTTGGTTTGTTAAGTTTATGAAAAAGTTTAAAACTATGTAGCACTTTTCGTTTTTCTTCATGGGACCGGACTACTCTAATGTTGAGTTTGCTTGTATATGAATTATAGATTTAAAATCTTACATTCAAAATTATTTATTTTTAATAGTGTAAAAAAATTTTAAGAGAAAAACAGACAAGTTAAGATTTAAAGTAGAAATGAAGATTGAAAATGATGAATTTATTTTTATTTTTTAATCAACGAGAGCTAATAATAAAAAATGAGATGAGTAATAAAGTTAATAGAGCCGATAATGGAATAGGAGGAATTTCAACTAATTATGGTCTAAAGCAAAGACAAATCCCAAAGTGATGAGAGGCCGGGGGATTGAAAATTTATGTAAAAGTGTGGGATAAAAATTGATTTGAATATTTTTCTTACAAATAAAAGTTCTCATATTTGCGAAGAATGCTTTGGACTATGGGGCAATGTCCTTGCATGCTTTTCTTGGATATGTGATTAGTTTAGAGATAATTTGAAATTATAAAAAGAATTACAATAAAACATGAATTGGCTAAATCCAAATCCAAAGACTTTTAAATATTTAAATTCAAATCTACATGCATTTATTTAGATTCATAAAAATTATGGATTTATAGTTGATTCAAATTCAAATTCATATTTTATTATAATTCCTTTATAATTTTAAAAGTTTCCTCTATCTAATTGTTTGAAATTCTAATTACCCTAGCCTTCTTATCTTTTTTCCATTTTCATTTCTCATCTCCCTTTTTCATTTTTTTTGTACTTGAAATTTTTTATACTATCCAAATAAATTAAGAATTTTAAATATATGAATTTAAAATTTAAAATTCAAATCTTAATTTACAAATTCAAATGCTACCACATTTTTCTTGGAAAATAACATTTGGATTGATGAAAATTTGAATTTGAATTTCAGATTTAAAATCTCACATTTAAAATCTAAGTTTTTAAATTTTTTTGTTTGAATAATATATGTAAAAGGTTTTAAAGGTATAATAAAGACAAGTTGAGATTAAAAAAAAAAGTTACAATAAAATACAAATTTAGATTTGAATACTTTTATATATCCAAATGGAGTTTTTTAGGGTTGAAATCTAAATCCAAATTTTCATGTATCAAAACATAAGTACCTTATTTATAAGGTTTGAATCCGAGGGCTTTACTCTCTTACTAGTACCTCCCATATCCTTCTTTATATATGTTTACATTATTTTAAATGATTTTCTACCATCTTCTCTTCAATATATGCTATGCCCAATTTTTCTCGAATATGTTCATTACATATTTTATCTTTTCATGTATGTTCACACATTCCTCTCAACATTCTTGTCTCTACTACTTTAATTTTATGTTTTTGTTGTTATTTTAAAGTTCAACATTAAGTACCATATAATATGACTAGTTTTATAGTAGTTTGATAAAACTTTCATTTAAGCTTGTTATATATCTTCTATCACAAATAACTTTTATAACATTTTTTCATTTAAGCCACCTAGCTTGTATCCTATGTGCAACATCCAATTAATTTCACCATCATTTTGAATAATTTCTCCCAAATATATAAACATTTATACTTGAAATATGATATAATCTTCCAATCTCTCACTTCTAAATTACTATTAATTAACTGACCTCTTATATGTCAAAATTATCATGCATATATTCCGTCTTACTCCTACTTAAGTGGAAGCTCTTAAAATCCCAAGTCCTTCTCCATAACTCAAGTTTGGAGTTAATCTTTTCTCTTGACTCAATAGTAAAAACTATATCACCTGCAAAAAGCATGTAATTGAGGATTTTCTCTTAAATATGCTTAGTCAAAATATCTAAAACCAAGTTAAACAAGCTAAGTAATGTCTTAAAGAAATCCTTGATGAAAGCCAATTCTTACAGGAAAGTTTTGTATCTCACTACAATATCTTCTTATACTAGTTACTATCCCCTTACACATATCTTCTTTAGCTTTGATACAAGCAACTCAAACTCCTTTCTTTTTTAAGGTTTTTCAAACTACTTATCTTAATACACGATCATAAGATTTTTTTTGAAATTAATGAAAACCAAGTGCAAATCTCTAACTTTGTTTTGATAGCTATAGTTTTTCATTAATTTTTTTAGTAGATATATTACCTTTGTTATAGCCCTAGCTTCCTAGCTTGAAACCAAATTAGTTATTAGAAATACCAATCCCCAACCTCAACCATGCACATTCAACAACTATTTCTCACAATTTTATTATATCACTCACTCTTAGTCTCTTTGTAGTTTGCATGATTTTGAATTTCCCTTTATTCTTATAAATAGAAACTAAAGTTCTTAATTCTCCTTCATTTATTAAGCCTTTTCTTGGATTGTAAGATCTCATTAAATAGCTTAGTTAGCCACAACATTCCCTCTTGACCTAAAAATTTTTACACTTCAATAGGGATATATAAATATATTGTTAGGCCTAGTGGCTCTACCATTTTTATTTTCTCAAATTCTTCCTTAACCATGCTATTATGCAAGAATCCACCGTCGAATCATGACAAACCCTATTGTGGCACTCAAGGATCATATGCCAATTGGTATGAATGTCATTATTTCAATCTCTGATCAAATTTAGAGCTTTTAATGAATCACTTCTCAAGCTCACCTTCATATGTCCTCCATCCCAAGCTCTTCAGAGGCCAATATGATAAGTTTATAGTTTGGCCACAAAAGAGTCTTATGATATCACTCAGGCAAGTATATCAGATTGATATAGTAATAGTTTATGGAGTATTCCATATATGCATTTTTATGCATTATTTAATGAATAAAATAGTAGAAAACATATATAAATCTAGGTAATATATCCACTTATCATCTTCCTATAAGATTCTAAGCATGAAAGCTTCCAATGGAGAATGATGATTGTCTTTAACAACACTTCCACAGCTTGTAGTATGATTAAAATGAGAATAAAACAATAATCCAACCTTCCTACAACATATGAGGTGTTCTTGCTTCTTTTTTTAATACAAAACCATGGAAAACTGTGTGGCTAAAAGGGGATTAGGTCAAGTCTAGATCCATAAAGAGTCAATACCCTGGGGGTGGAAGATCAAAAATTAAAGTGTTTGTATTATCACTTGTTGCATGGCGTCAAGTCAATTAGCACATTTGTTGGATTCTCTAAGCTCATGGTTAAAGGTGATAACCTAATCTTCAATGGTGAGGCATATGATCTTTTTTATAATATCATTAAGAGGATGGTTTGGATTGTGGTCATACTGGATAAGTGCTAGAGCTTCTAAAGAATCAGTGTGAACATTAACGTGCTTGAAATTGTCCAAATATTTAGTTGTTTCAAATTAAGCCGTGCCTCATTGTATCCCAACACAATAGGTTTGGCTTTGGAGTAAATTTGATAGAAGACTTTATTGATATTTTCAAAGATTTTATCATTCCTTCGCTTCCAAATGAGCTAGCAGATAACAAAAAACAATTCCTTCGAAGATTCTTCATCCTGCCCCGCTACTGCATTGACAATCAAGTAGCACCAATCCCATAAATTGCAATTAAAAAAATCTAGGTTGAAGGCTTGGTTTGATGAGAGAGAAATTCACAAAGATTTAATTTCCTCACAATCCCAAAAGACATGAAGAAAATTTTCCACAGCATGATTAGACCAAATACTAAAAAAAAAAAAAAGTATAAGGATCCAATGCTTATAAAAAAAAATTATAAGGACGCAATTAAAAAGAAAAAAAATTACAAGGACTTGATATTAAATGAGGAGGAATTATAAGGACTTGAAAATTAATTTATTCTATGTTTTTTTTATATTTATCATTAGTAAGTAGAACGATCATTTATAATATTCTCTAGTTATCGTTCCTGCATAAGCATTTTGAGAGTAAAAGTTATCATCTCTTATTAAAAGCTGAAGTTAGTTGCCGTGTAACATAAAAATTTGAGATATGGCCTGCAATATTTTCTAGTCTAATAAATATCCTGATTTAATTTCTTGTTGATTTATATGTGTCCGTGTGGGGGGAGAGGGGTACGGGTAATGATATGGAT